AGAATTTATTGACAAATTAGAATAACAGATTTAATGTTACACAATTTAAGTGAATTATTTATATTAGTAATCTAAACATTATTGTTACACATATTTTTTAGTATATAGTTATAGATTTAAAATCAGTTGTTTTTGCAATAAAACCTTCAAATTTAATAGAAATCAGCTTTTTTTTTTTATATATTATAGCTAATTTAACCAATAAGCATTGAGTAATAAATTTGACTATAATAATAAATATGTCAGTTTGTTTTTTATATTATACCTGATCTAGCCAATAAACATCAGTTTTAGTTGTTTTATTTAAATCTTTTATATTATATCTAATCTAGCTAATCAGGTTTCAAAATTTGTTAACATACAAACATCAGATATACTATTGCTCTACTCTGTAGTATCCTTCAGACAATGGATGTCAAATAGATGATGATCTACAAAAAATTGTATTTAAATTTATTAATATATAAATTACAATTCAAAATTTAAAGGTTCTCCCTTATCTAAACTAATAATAACTCATTCTAGCTTTTACTTATTTGTAATTAGCAAACAAATTAGTTTTATTATTAGTTAAAATAGAGAATATAATAAAATATTAGAACTCTTACCCAGTTCAGAAAATAGTAATCTGGGTCAATACCTGACTCAAAATTTTTTGATTCAGGTTGTAACCCAAGTCAGATAAATTATGTAGATGTTTGCTTTTGTAATCTGATTGATTAGTATTTAAAGTCAAAGTTTTTTTTTTCCAGTATTTATTTCATATCTATTTTATTTATATGACCCAGGTTAGCTTAATTTTGACTCAGGACCCACATAACCTATCAAATTTAAAACCTATATGAGTTAACCTTACCCAGATAGCAGCTCTATATTATATTGCACAATTGTGTAGCTATAAAAAATAAATATTAGCTTATTATATATCTATATCATTAAGATATATATTATTATATAATAGCTTGTTTTTTTATACAATATTAATTAAAATTTATAAAACAATTATTCAGTAAAAAATTATTGAATTTCAAATATATTTTCTTCATAACATACATATAAATTGTTCAAAAATTTTACTAAATTACACAGGTCAAAAGATAAAAAATCAGGCACAAATCAGGTACCCGATTTTAAACTGATTACTGCCTGATTACCACCTGATTTATGCATATTTTTGTACCAAATTTTTGGTACAAAAATATGCATAAATCAGGTGGTAATCAGGCAGTAATCAGTTTAAAATCAGGTACCTGATTTGTGCCTGATTTTTTATCTTTCGACCTGTGTTATAATTTCTATATCATCATCATCATCATTGGCCACTTGAGTGCTTGCTAATTCACTAATTATTTGAGTTGTTTTTCCTTTTCTAATTCTTGCGCACCTGTTACATGTACTTTTTGGTTTACCTTCACTTTTGCAAATAAAATCAGCAAAGTTTTTTTTTTATCATAACGGAAACATCTTTTTTCATTCTCAGAAGAAGCCATTATATTTTTTAGATAACTTATATTCTCTGAATTCAAATGAAGAGGTATGTATAATCTAATTAGCGCTTAATAATTATATTAACAAAATCAAAGGCCAAAATTAAAAAGGAATAGCAATGTAGTTGGATAGTGTGACTACAGGAAAGGTATATAGTTACTAATAGAATAAATTATAGTAAAATTAAAGTGTGTAGTGATGAAAAGGCAAATAATTTATATAAGGATGGTAAAAGTAAAGTTAAATTGATAGCAAGAGTTTGCGATAATAGAGATATATATTTATTGCAAAGATGAAGCTATGATGAAGATAAATAGTTTAAGAGATTTGCAATTTAGCTATGCAATTCAATACTAACGGGTTTTTCTAATGGAATAAGTTCAAATTATATTATGGCTTTCATAATATATATATATATATATTTTTTTTTTTAGTATTAAGGTGAGGCCTTGCTCATATCTTTATTGATTAATTTATATAAGTAATTATATATCAACTATATAAAAACTTAATTTGTATAATAACAAATAAATATAAATTATATGCAAGAATAAAAGCTCAGACTAAAAGCTTAACCTAAAAGCTAAACTAGTTATCTGCGACCTAAACCTACTAGAGTGGTCAAGACTCACCTAGGTTTGAATTGTTAGGATTTGGTTAATAGGTGTATTATATTTGATCTACATAGTGGACCATGTATTGATTTTAAAAGTAGCTTGTCCTAAAGGAGGACAAGTATTAGTTTTAGAATGTAGTTGGTCAGCGGAGCCACAAGGACAACTGTAAGTATAGTTAGTTTTGTTAAGAAGAACAAACTCTAATAGAGTGTTTAGACAATAAATCTATACAAGTTAATACAGTAAAGTATTTTTAATTCCAAAATTCTGTTAACAATATCAAAGTCAAATCTATCCCAATAAAAATTGTGTATATATAGCCCACTGCCTATAACAATATAAAATTAAAAAAAAAAGAAACAGTAAAACATAGCACAAAAGCAAATAAAGCTTAAAGCAACAATATCATAGTTAAAGTCTAACCAATTCTAGTGAAAATCCTTATAACACAGTCTGACAACAAAGTAATCGATAATAGCAACAATATCAGCAATACAGAAGTGGAATCACAAAATAATTCATGTAAACAAAGTCATACGAGACATGAAGATATACTAAATTTAGATATAAAGCTAAAATTAATAAAGGATATATTAGTTCAAAAAGAATTTAAAACATTAGATTATGGGCTTAATAAATTACAAAACTAGCTAGGCTAAAGAAACATATTGCAAAAAGAATAAAAACACAAGCTAACTCAGAGTTAATAATCAAACCAAGTATAGTCAAACCTCTATAAATACAATCTCTATAACTGCAATACCTCTCTAAATGTATATTTCTGGCCTGGCTATAAGAAATCATTAGTGCTAAATGCATATTTTATATTCTGCAAATGCATATTCACTCAAAAGATTTTTATATCACACTAATCTCTCTAAATACACATAGCCAATCAGAATTCAGTATTCAAGTTGTGTTATACAAGAATATTAAAAGCTGCAATTTGATTGGCTTTCTCTAAATGCAAACCTTTCTAAATACACAATTGAAGCTAGTCTGTACATATTGCATTTATAAAGGTTTGACTATAATAAAAAATGCAAGCAATATGAAGATATATACAATTCAGCAGGGCTCCAAAAAACAAGATTGTATAACAAAAAATTACAAACAACTTACTATATTTCTTCACATTATGGGACTTGCCAAAATATATAAACAAAAAAAAAATTAAAGCTTACTTGAGTTACTCATATAGATTAATTTATAGAATTGCTAATAAATTTTGATATACTACTTCATTTTAAATAATTTTACTACCAAATGTTTAGCTCGATAAGACAATTCTAATGAATTCAAAATTATTAAAATCTAATCACAGGATTCTAAAATAATTAAAATATTGTATAAATTTACTATTAACTTTTAATATTACTATATAAATACACTTAATTAATAATTTACTAGTGAAATGATATAATAAATATTGAGAATAAGTTTACTATATAAATTTTGCTTTAAAACATTAAAATTAGCCTAGTAGATTGAGAGATATAAGCATTTTATTTATTTATTTTTTTTAATATTAAGGTGACTACTTAGGCTCTTGGCACTTTATTAGTTCAAGCAGGTAGGCGATATTAATTAATTTAACATCAGCTTTATATATTACATTAGTATTATGAAAGTACAACTAGCCACATGTGCACCTTTTGAGTGTCTAATTTAAGTAGTTTGCCTGAAGGTTCTATACTATTTGCCGTACCTGCACCCCAACTAGGGGGGTACTTATTTAAACTCCCTGGCTTTAATCGACATCACATGTTTCCTCCTAATATACCTCTTCACAGAGTAATTTACCATTAAAGACCCTAAGACTTTAGCTATCAACCTAATTTGGGAGGCATTTAACTTTGTAGTAAACCTAACAGAGTGGTGTGTGTCCTACACATGTTCTTATCTGCATATTCGGTAACTTCTTTCTAACTGTACTGTTGTACTGCTGCCACCGGGTTTGTATCTCAAGCCAACTTTTGGGGTGCTGCCATAACCTGATCTGTATCTCAAGTACAACCTTCCTAATTAGTCACCTATTACATACTTCTTGCCCTTATAAGGTTCATAGCAACCCCGGTACTCACATTCAGACTATCTTCTTACCCGGATTCTTCATCAGTTCCTCACTTACTTCCAGCCAGCAACTTGGATGAGTTGGTCTGCCCAGGCTTTAGGTGCCTGAAGGATGCCCTCTTCTTGGTTCATACTTTCAGAGCGTATGTCCTTTTCCTCTGGTGTGACAACCCAGCAGTTCAGCTAGTGTATCTTCTGCCAGTGGACCTGGTCACTCGGTTCTCCGATCTTAGACCCCAGTTCGAATTCAGCCTTCCTGTGATACTGTCGAAGATCACTGCTACTCCCAATTCAGAACTTGCCAAATGGGTTTTTGGTTATGCCGGTTTCTCGGATTTATTGCGCCAAAGCTCCCATTACTAGATGGTGTGACCGAAGTTACAGATTAAGTTCTAGATTCAACCGATAGCATAGCCGTTAACCAAAACACAGGTCTATTTTTCAAATATCATCACTAGTGGGATTTGAACTCTAGACCTACCACTTGGAGAGGGTAACGACTAGACCATACACTAAGTCGCCACATCTCTATGTAAGCATTTTAGTCTTTATGACTATTTGTTTTCTTTTTTATTTATATAAAGAAGAAAACATATAGTTGTAAAGACTAAAATGCTTATAACTCTCGATCCACTAGGCCAATTTTAATAGTTTAACTACTATTCTAATTGCAAGACACTTCTCTACAACTTTATTTAAATATTGAAAAGAGGTTTACTTAGTAAGAAAGAATTTTCTTTGGAAAACTCCAGATTCCAAAAACAATAGTAAATTTTCTTACTTTTTACTATGTGTTTTCACTAGTTTACTAGCAAATCACGAATTAATATTAAATAACTTTTGGTATATTAGTCAATTTTGGATGATTTAACTACCAAAATATTTGTCTCAAAGAAACAATTCTAACAAGTCTAAAATCCCGAGATAGTTAGAAATTTGTATTATTGGCCAATTATATTAAAGATTGATTTATATATATATATATATATATATATTAATATTAAGGTGACCACTTAGGCCCTTGGCACTTTATTAGTACAAGCAAGTAGGTTAGTATTAGATTTAACACTGGCTTTACATATTATATCAATATTACAAGAGTACAACTAGTCACACGTACAACTTTTATTGTCTATTTAAGTAGTCCATCCGAAGTATTAGTGCTATACTAGGGGTTCTACACTAGCTGCTATACCTATAGTCTAACTAGGAAGTTATCTATTTAAACTCTCTGGCTTCAACCGATATCACATGTTTTCTCCAAATATACCTCCATATAGAGAGTAATTTACCATTTAAAACCCTAAGACTTTAGCCAACAGCAGAAGGCATTTATCTTTGTGATAAATCTAACATAATGGTGCATGTCCCACACATGTGCTCATCTGTATGTTTGGTAATTTTTTCCCAATTAGTATATATTGTTTGCCACCATTGTGTTCATATCTCATGCTACCTTTTGGGGTGCTGCTATAACACAATCTGTATTTCAAGCACAACCTTTCTAATTAGTTTTTCATTACATACTCCTGCTTTTATAAAGTTTACAACAATGCCAGTATCCACATTTCAGCTGTCTTCTTACCCGGATTCTTTATTGGTCTCTCCTTTACTTCCAGCCGGCAACTTGGAAAGATTGGTCTGCTTAGGCTTTAGGTATATGAAGGACACCCTCTCCTTGGTCCATACTTTCGGAGTATATGACCTTTTCCTCTAGTGTGTCTAAACTGATGGTTTAGCTAATGTGTCTCCCCACTAAAGAATCTGGTCACTTGGTTCTCCAATCTCAGGCCCTAGTTCAAATTTAGCCTTTCTGTAGTACTGTTGAAGATCTCTGCTACATCCTACTCAGAACTTACCAAACAAGCTTCTATCTCCAGTCCTGTAATACAGATTATAGCTACCCGGAATCATCTCACTGATACCATCAAACACCAGATCACCAGATCTTCTATAGACCAACCTTAATAGAGATTATTGTCTGACATGTTCTATTTTGCTCAAAAACGTCGTCCCTGGGATTTGAATATAAGTAGGGTCCAGCATGGGCCACCCGTTAGGCCCATTGGGCTTTTTTTTGAAAATTAATTTGGGCCACATCTCATAGTGCTAGTCACGT